ATATGGAAACTGGTGATATTCAGAGTGTTAGTCAACCTTCTCTTTAAGGTGAAAGAATTTTGGCAAGATATTATGTAATGTAATTAAAGGAGATCCAAAATGGACATTTGCATGTGTCTTTTCCAAGTAGTAGTCATTCTGGGAGCCAGCTACATGGCTCTATGTAAGTTAGCTGTACTAGTTTTTTTTTTGGGAAACGGAGTGTTGCTCTGACACCCAGGCTGGTACATTCTCAGGTCACTGCAGCCTCCACCTCCTGAGTTCAAGTGATTGTCCTGCCTCAGCCTCCTGTGTAGCTGCCACCATGCCTGGCTAATTTTTGTATTTTTAGTAGAGATGGGGTTTCACTGTGTTGGTGAGGCTGGTCTTGAACTCCTGACCTTGTGATCCGTCCACCTAAGCCTTCCAAAGTATTGGGATTACAGGCATGAACCACCGTTCCAACCAGGTGTACTAGTATTATTGGGAAAGGATGAAAGTCAGACTAAATGAGAGTTGAAAGACTTCAGCTGATAAGGAGATAACTGCTCTTGGGCAGTGCATTTTCCCCCTCTGTTTTGCTTAGCAGTTATGAAGCTTTTATTTTTCCTCATGGAACATGAGTTAATAGGTGAAGAATAAATGTCTTAGTGTATATTGATGTGACTGAGGAACAATGACAGATATTTAAAAAGCCAGCTTGTGAGTGTTGTATAATTACCTAACAAGCCATAACTTGTGTTAAACATTTTTACAGTCTGTTTCTATTTTTGGCAGGATATTTTTCACCCCCATGCTTTCCAGTTTTGGATCTGGGAAGTAGCTTTTACTTCTTATGAATGGTTTTAAGGAAATTAATTTTGAGATTGCTTTTATTATTTTAAGTCATTTTATTCACTTATATCATTTGAAGGCACTGAATTAACCAATCATTGGTTGTGTAGCATCTTTCTGATGGATAAAAGCAAATGTCAAGAAGAATGGGAGTGCTGTGCTGTTTTATAGAAATTCTTTAGGATATGTTTATTGGATCAATTATTTTATTAACAATTGGGATTTAAATTCTTATAAAATTTTCTACTTTTTAAAACTTAATTTATGTTCAGCTAGCTTAATTTGACAGTTTTTATAGTCTAGTGAACTTTAATCTTAATATTTCTTTGAGAGAGAACATACTTATCTTTAGAGACATCATTTAGTGTTGTCTTCCAAAATTTGCAGCTGTTTAGAACCAGATACTTGAGGGAAGCTACTATGGTATGATGAATGCCTTCCTTGTTAGGTCATGTGTGACAAAGGCAAAATTCAGCAAGTGCATAATCTGCAGTCCTTTGGAAGCAACAAAAACAAAAAAGAGCAGATTAACTCGAAATGCATTTAGGTCATCTGGAAATTGAATTCCTGTCAGTTCTTATCTTTGCATAATTTATCTTCTCCCCTTTAGTTAATGCTTATGGTATTTTGAAGCTGATGAGCATACTGTATTTTCCAGGAGAGCATTAATACATTGTAGTTTCTTAGTGTTAAAAGAACTTAACCTTTCATTCCCACCTCCACTAAGTAGTGCTCACAGAAGAGGCTCTCATTAGTTCTTTTTTTATTTTTTATTATTATTATTATTTTTTTGTTAATGAGAGCTTGTTATGTTGCTCAGGTTGGCCTTGAACTCATAGCCTCGCCTCCTCAAGTGCCAGGACAACTGGCCGGAGCCACCACGGCTCCCCTATTTATTTTTAAAGACGGGGTTTCACCATGTTGGTCAGGCTGGTTTTGAACTCCCAACCTCAGGTGATCCGCCTGCCTTGGCCTCCAAAGTGCTTGGATTACAGGCATGAACCACCATGCCTGGTCTCATTAGTTCTTTTAAAAATATTCCGTTTCAGAAACCTAACATGTACACTTCCTCAGTACATTGTAGGTGTGAATATGAAACTAAATGCTTTGTAAGTGTGGTTATTGCATTGTTAGGTATGGATTTCATTCATCCAACAAACATTTTTTGAGTATTTCTGTACCAGGTACTCAGCTAGGAACTGTGACACAGGGATAAAATGCCTTTGCTACAAGGACCCTTAACCTTTGTTTTTTTTTTTTTAGGGAGGGAAGGAGGAAGGGAGGAAGGAAGGGATGAAGGAAGGAAGGGAGGAAGTGGGGTGGAGGGAGGGAGGGAGGGAGGAAGGGAAGGGAAGGGAAGGAAGGAATTCAAGCAATGAGAGACATTGCTGACCTGGATCTAGAGGTTTACAAGTTGATTTCTTTTTTTGAGAGAAGGAAAGAAAAAAAAATGAGTAAAGGAGAGAAAGAAAGAGGAAGTGAGAGAGGGAGGGTGAACGGAAATACTGCTTTATTCTGAAAAAAAAAAAAAAAAAAAAAAAAAAAAAACAGGGTATTAATAATGGCCAATCAGTGTTTCATTTAAACCTATGAGTAGGTGTGATGTGGTATTGACAAGAATGTATATTTTGTGTATTTGAAGTGGAGAGCTCTATAAATATTTATTAAGTTTACTTGTTCCGGATCTGAGTTCGAGTCCTTGATATCCTTATTAATTTTCTGTCTCATTGAATCTGGGTGTTAGGATCTCTATGTATCTGGGTGTTAGGATCGTTAGCTCTTGTTGTTGTATTGATCCTTTTACCACTATATCTTTGTTGCTTTAAAATCTATTTTATCCGCTACGAGAATTGCAACTCCTGCTTTTTATTTATGTATTTATTTATTTTTGCTCTCCATTTGGTTGGTAAATCTTTCTCCATCCCTTTGTTTTGAGTCTTTGTGTATCCTTGCATGTGAAACAGGTCTGGATGTAACATGCTGTTGGGTTTTGGCTGCGTCTTTTGATTGAGGGATTTAGTTGATTTAAATTTAGGGTTACTGCCATTTGATGTTAACTGGCTGTTTGATCCATTCGTTGATGAAAATTCTTCTTTATGTTGGTGCTCTTTACTTTTTGGTATATTTTTAGTAAGGCTAATAGTGGTTGTTTCTTTCTGTGTGTAATGCCTCTTTCAGAAGCTCTTGTAAAGCAGGCCTGGTGGTAATAAAATCTGAGTACTTGCTTGTTCATTAAAGATTTTATTTTTCCTTCGGTTGTGAAGCTTAGTTTGGCTGGATATGAAATTCTGGACTGAAGGTTCTGTTCTTTGAGGATGTTGAATATTGGCCCCCACTCTCTTCTGGCTTGTAGAGTTTCTGCTGAGAGATCTGCTGTAAGTCTGATAGGCTGGCCTTTGCGGGTAACCTGACCTTTCTCTCTGGTTCAACCCTGGTGAATCTAACGATTATGTGCCTTGGGCTTGCTCTTCTTGAGGAATATCTTTGTGGTGTTCTCTATTACCTGGGGTTGAATATTGACCTGCTTTGCTAGTTCAGGAAAATTTTCCTGAATAATATCCTGAAGGGTATTTTCCAGTTTGGATTCATTCTCTCCGTCGCATTCAGGTACACCTATCAAACGTAAATTTGGTCTTTTCACATAGTCCCACATTTCTTGGAGACTTTGCTCATTCCTTTTTATCCTTTTTTCTCTAATCTTTTCTTCACATTTTATTTCATTAAGTTGGACTTTGACCTCTGATATCCCTTCTTCTGCTTGAACAATTCGAGTGTTTAAACCTGTGCATACTTCTCGGAGTTCCTGTATTGTATTCTTCAGTTTCATTAATTCACTCATACTCCTCTCTAAGTTGTCTATTCTCAATAGGATTTCATCAAACCTTTTTTCAAAGTTCCTAGTTTCTTTATGTTGGGCTATAACATGTTCTTTTAACTCACAGAAGTTTGTTATTATCCATTCCTTGAAGAGTGATTCTGTCATTGGGATGCGCTCATTCTCCATCAAGCCTTGTTCCATTGTTGATGTGGGAACTGTGATCATCTTTAGAGGGAGAGGCGTTCTGATTTTGAGTATTCTCAGCCTTTTTACGCTGGTTTCTTCCCATCACTGTAAATTTATCCTCCTGTCGTCTTTGAAATTACCATCTTTCAGATTAGTTCTCTTGATTGGACGTCCAAGTTGTTAGTTCCCAGGGCCAGAACAGCGGCGTTAAGACTGACGGTGCTTTTCTGCCCAGGATTCTCCTGTCTGGCTTCCTTCTTGTGTCCGTAATGGGCGACTCTGCCTTCCCCGGGCTCCAAACCTCGGTCAGAAGGGGAACCAGTCTTGTTTACTCTGCGCCGAGAGCTGCTGCGCTGAGGTGCCTTCACAGCCGTTGCGCCGGTCTCGTCTCAGGAGTTGTGCTGGGGACCCGTGTGGGTCCTCCAAACCTAGGTCAGAAGGGGAGCCGGCCCTGTTTACTCTGCTCAGAGAGCTGCAGCACCGAGGTGCCGGCGCAGCTGCTGCGCCGGCCACAAGAGTCGCGCTGGCGGCCTGTGTGGGTCCTCCAAGCCTCGGTCAGAAGGGGAGCCAGCCCTGTTTACTCTGCTCTGAGAGCTGCTGCGCCGGCCACAAGAGTTGCACTGGCGACCCATGTGGTTCCTCCACTGGGGATCTTCTGCTCCGTGAGCGACCAGAATTTGTCTGAAAGTGTGGCGTCCTCTAGTTCTCTCAACCTTTGTTTTAATATTGCCTTGCTAAGGCAGGTCTTGAGTCTGAAAGGCTAGAGTTGGGTCAAGAGGATAACTATGTTATGTTAGATTGGCCAGAGGTCTTAGTTAAAGGTAAATTTGACTGGGCACAGTGGCTCACGCCTGTAATCTCCACTTTGGGAGGCTGAGGTGGACGGATCACAAGGTCAGGAGTTTGAGACCAGCCTGACCAACATGGTGAAACCCTGTCTCTACTAAAATACGAAAATTAGTCATGCGTGGTGGTGCGCGCCTGTAGTCCCCGCTACTCGGGAGGCTGTGGCAGGATAATCACTTGAACCCAGGAGGCAGAGGTGGCAGTGAGCCAGGATCTCGCCACTGCACTCCAGCCTGGCAACAGAGCAATAGTCCATCTCAAAAAAAAAAAAAAAAAGTCAATTTAAGGAGGTATTAGAAACTCAGTTAAAAAGAATAGGCTTTGCAGACGCCGCCGCCGCCGTCTGGAGCCTTGTTGTAGCAGCCATGGTCAACCCCACCATGCTCTTCGACATTGCTGTCGACGGCGAGCCCTTGGGCCGCGTCTCCTTCGAGCTGTTTGCAGACAAGGTTCCAAAGACAGCAGAAAACTTCCGTGCTCTGAGCACTGGAGAGAAAGAATTTGGTTATAAGGGTTCCTGCTTTCACAGAATTATTCCAGGGTTTATGTGTCAGGGTGGTGACTTCACACGCCATAATGGCACTGGTGGCAAGTCCATCTACGGGGAGAAATTTGATGATGAGAACTTCATCCTAAAGCATACAGGTCCTGGCATCTTGTCCATGGCAAATGCTGGACCCAACACAAACGGTTCCCAGTTTTTCATCTGCACTGTCAAGACTGAGTGGTTGGATGGCAAGCATGTGGTCTTTGGCAAGGTGAAAGAAGGCATGAATATTGTGGAGGCCATGGAGCGCTTTGGGTCCAGGAATGGCAAGACCAGCAAGAAGATCACCATTGCTGACTGTGGACAACTTTAATAAGTTTGACTTGTGTTTTATCTTAACCACCAGACCATTCCTTCTGTAGCTCAGGAGAGCACCCTCCACCCCATGTGCTCGCAGTATCCTAAAATCTGTGCTCTCGCTGCAGTTCCCTTTGGGTTCCATGTTTTCCTTGTTCTCTTCCATGCCTAGCTGGATTGCAGAGTTAAGTTTATGATTATGAAATAAAGACGAAATAACAAAAAAAATAAATAAATAAAATAAAAATAAAAAGAATAGGGATTAGTTTATCATAGCCCAAGACAGACAAAGGGCCTAGATACTGCATATTGAGATTGTGCTGCAATGAATGGAGCTTAATGAGTTTGGGCTTCCTTTGAGGCAAGAACTAGTCTATATAGGCAATTTAAAATTAGAGGCAGAGAAAAGAGGGACAACTGGAATATCTGTTCTCTTTTTCTTTCCACTCTGAGGCATGTATATAACTTCTTTTTCTTTAAAGTCAATCCTTTAATTGATGAACTTGGGAGAGATGCAAGCCTCTCACAGCCTTCATTTCCAATGTTTGCTTGCTTTCTTGAAGATTTTCTAGTGAAATATTTCATTCATTACAGAAGAGTGGAGTTGTTTGTACATTGCATACCTAAATACCTACCACCTATATTGTTAGTCATATTTTGCTATATTTGCTTTATCACCTATCGGTCTATCCATTCATCAGTCCTTTTGTTTTTGTTGTATTTCAAAGTAAGTATTCTTTTTATTTATTTATTTTATTTTTTTAGGTTGGGTTTCACCGTGATGGTCAGGCTGGTCTTGAACTCCTGACCTCAGGTGATCGACCCACCTTGGCCTCCCAAAGTGCTAGGATTACAGGCATGAGCCACCGTGCCTGGCCTCAAAGTAAGTATTCTTTACACCTAGACATTTCCCCATGCCTATTAACTATTTGTTCATTTGTTTTTAGGTAAAACTTGTATATAGCAAAATATACAAATCTTATACTATTCCCTTAGTTTGAACAAGTTCAGACATTTGTGTAACCCATATCCCTGTTGACTTATAGAACATTATCATCACCATAAAAAGTTCCTTCCCACAGCTTCTAGGTTAATTTCTCTCTCCTTTTTTTTTTTTAAATTGAGTTGGAGTACAGCTCTGTTGCCCATGCTGGAGTGCAGTGGGGCAGTATTGGCTCACTGCAGCCTCTGCCTCCCGGATTCAAGTGATTCTCCTTCCTCAGCCTCCTGAGTAGCTGGGGTTATAGGTGCGAGCCACCATGCCTGGCTAATTTTTGTGGTTTTAGTAGAGACAGAGTTTCACCGTATTGGTCAGGCTGGTCTTGAACTCCTGAACTTGTGATCCGCTGCCTCGGCCTCCCAAAGTGCTGGGATTATAGGCCTGAGCAACCGATCCCAGCTTCAGGTAAATTTCATTAGCTGTTTAATCACCTGCAGTCTTATTTCTACTAGTTTCTTCTGAAACTACTTGTTCAGATGGTCTACTTTGTTAGAAGTACACTAGGATAGTGTTATGCTTGGTGTTAAGAGAATAAAGAAGTGAACACAGCCCTTACTCTCTCTGTAAGCTTATGATTTAGTGTTTTGTTTTGTTTGTTGAGACAGTCTCACTTTGTTGTCTGGGCTGAAGTAGAGTGGTGCAATCATAGCTCACTGTTAACATTGAGCTCCTGGACTCAAGCCATCCTCCTTCCTTAGCCTCCTGAGTAGTTGTAGCTACAGATGTGTACCACCATGCCTGGATACTTTTTTTTTTTTTTTTTTGAGAAGGGGTCTCAGTGTGTTGCCCAGACTGGAATGCAATGGCTATTCACAGGTGTAGTTCTACTACTAATCAGCATGGGAGTTTTGACCTGCTCAGTTTCTGACCTGGGCTGCTTCACCCCTCCTTAGGCAACCTGGTGGTCCCCTGCTCCTAGGAGGTCACCATATTGATGCCGAATTTAGTGCCTACACCTGATTAGCATAGTGCAAGCCCAGAACTCCTGGACTCAAGCCATCCTCTAGCCTCAGCCTCCCGAGTAGGTGGGACCACAGGCACGAGGCTACCATGTCCCATGCTTTTTTTTTGAGAGGCTACAACTTGCTTTGTTGCCCAGTCTGGAGTGCAGTGGCTGTTCAAAGTCCTGGTCACAGTGTGCTGCAGCTGTCAACTTTTGGGCTCGAGTGATCTCAGCCTTCTAAGTAACTGAGACTACCAGCACATATCACAGGCTTAGTTTGGGTTTTAATTAGGTATTTGAAGAGAGATAAGTAAACGTGACATGAATTCAGAGGAGGCAAGTTTCTTAGGAGTAGGTCTTGAATTAGGCCCTGCTAAGGTCTGAATGTTGGTGTCCCTCCAAAATTTAAATGTTGGAACTTAATCCCCAGTGATAGTATTAAGAGCTAGGGCTTTTAGTAGGTGATTAAGTTGTGAATTGGATTAATGCCTTGGTAAAAGAGGCTTGAGGAGCCCTTTGTCCCTTCCATCCTGTAAAGTGCCGTCTCTGAGGAGCAGGGCCTCACCAGACACTGAATCTGCCAGTGCCTTGATCTTGGACTTCTCAGTCTCCAGAACTGTCAGCAATAAGTTTCTGTTGTGTAAAAAATACCCAATGTAAGATATTTTATTATAGCAGCCTGATTGAACAAGGACAGGCCTTTAAAGATCCAGAGAATAATTTTTTTTTAAATTTTTTTAAAGACTGTGATTAGAAGCTTTGCATTAAAGGAACAGTAGCAGAAAAGGGTGGGTTGGGACCAGGTTTTGGAAGGAGTTTGAGTATTATTTTGTACCCAGTGATAGTTTTTGAGGAAAGGAGTAATGTTTTCCACAGATCTTTTAGTTAAATCTTTATTCTGTTTGTCATCTTTGATACTTAGTTTTAGAGAAGACCTCGTTTTTTGAGTTCTCTCTTCTCTTCTTTGCTTATCTCTGATTTCTCAACTTTGCTGGCAATTCTTTCTCTTCCAGATTCAGACTATCTAATGCTCTGTTCTTGAACCTTTATTGCTTCTTATAATTCAGCCCTTATCTCTTAGGGCTTCTCAGTTATAATTCTTTCCAAGGCATGCATACATTTTTATTCATAAACTGTTAACTCTTGTTGGGTTTCTCACTACTAAGAAGATGCTTCTTTTGTGTATCCCTTTTTACTTTGACTTATTCAGGACCCTGTAGCAAGAGCATTTGCTCCAGGTAGTTGGAGCAAGCAGGATTTATTGAGAGAAAGATATGTAAACTTTGAGCAGACTGAATGAACAGGTTAGTCTGAACTTCTAGAAACAAACCCCTGAATGATACTGCAGAGCTTGCCTGCCAAAGGGGCTACAGCCATCATAGCATCTAGAACCAGGTTGTTGAATCAGAAAGCTGCTTTAACAGCTTTAACTTCCTTGGGTAGGACTGTCAGTTCACGTTACGTCTTTCTGTTCCCTGTATCTTATGCAGGTATGTCTGCTTGCCCACACTAGGCCATATGTGAAACCTTAGCATTGCCTATATATAAAACAGGAAGTACATGTGAAAGCTTGATGGGAGTATTGAGTCTGCAGTACATTCAGTTTGTGAGGAACTGAACTCATTTTTCCTAGATTCCCTCATTGTGACAAAGTTAAGCCTTTTCTTAGTTTTCTTTGTCTGTCCAAAGATATGGGTATTGTTCTAGTTTTCTGAGATAGAACCTACTGAAAATTGTATCATTAAGATTTTTTAATGCTGATAATAATAGAAAACCAACTCAAATTCACTGGCTCACAATATTAAAAAGTCCAAAGGTGAAGCTTGATTCAGTTAAGCAATCAGACCTCATCTTTCTCTTCCTTTATTTAATGAGGTCTGGTTCCGGGGTTTTGGTCCCTTTATGTTTACAGCATGTTTGTTGAAGCTCAAGTCCTACGTCCTCATGGTGCCCAATCCAGAGGAAAATACATAGGACTACTGTACAAAGAAAACGAGTTGCATTAAAATGTAGTTACAGAAGTATTTTTAAAAATTGTTAGTAATACCTGTTTCTTCCTCCCTTTTTTTTTTTTTTTTTTTTGAGAGGGAGTCTTGATCTGTTGTCTAGGCTAGAGTACAGTGGTGCTAACACAGCTTATGACAGCCTCAGACTCTTAAGCTCAAGTGATTCTCTCACCTCAGCCTTCTGAGTAGCTGGGACCACAGGTGCACACCACCACACCCAAGTAATTTTTAAATTTTTGATAGAGATGAGGTCTTGCCATGTTGCTCAGGCTGGCCTTAAATTCCTGGTCTCAAACCATCATCTTGCCTTGGCCTCCCAAAATGCTGGGATTATAGGTGTGAGCCATCATGCCTAGCCTGTTTCTTTTTTTTGTTTTGTATTTTTAGCCTGTTTCTTTATTAAAAAGATTTAGTGGGGGTCTAATAATTTCCAAGTGGTGATGAGTATTATCACTATTTGGAGGTATCTGCAACTACAGATCATGTGATAGAAAAATAAATACCTGTGATTTCTACTGGTGACAAAATGAACAGATATTGCTAATATAATACTATTGTGATGTGTTGTCTGAATTCACAGTGAAAGGAAATGCTAAATTTCAGTTAGAGGTTAGTGAAAGTAAAGATGTAATTTGTTTTTCTCATCTGAATTTAAAGACACCCTGAATTCTAGACATAAACCCTTGCAGTGTCTGTGAGCCTCAGCTTAAGAACCACTGCTAGAAGAGAGTTTCTCTTCCTGGAAGCTCAAGAAATGTCATCTTGTGTCTCATTGACTTTGGGTTACATTATCATTCCTGAATCAACCACGAAGGCAAGAGAAATAGGATTTCCTAATTAGTTTAGCCAGCCTGGGCCTACCTCTGGAGTTGCACTTAAGCAGCATCATGGTAGAGGAAGTAGATTTCCAAGGGAAAATCAAGAAGCAGTGGATGGCAGGGTCTGGGAGAATTTGCTAGGTGCCCCTCCCCCTCAAAAAAAAAAAAAAAAAACAGTAGATACTGAGTGGCAAATAGCATTATGTCTATCCTCTCCCTCTGCTTCCATGGCCAATCAGTCATTAAGTTTTAGTGAAACTTCAATTTGCATTTGCCTTTTTCTGTTTAGTCTCTCTGAAAATATCTTAGGCCTCCAGTGTGGTAGTGTGTGGATTAGTCCATTGTATTGTGGAAAGAAATATATATATATATATATATTTTTTTTTTTTTTAAAAGACTGGGTTTCACCATGTTGGTCAGGCTGTTCATGAACTCCCCCGCCCACGCCCTGCACCGGACCT